AGATAGATAGATAGATAGATAGATAGATAGATAGATAGTATTTAATAATAAAATAAAACCAGACACAGATCGCGTCCTCAGAGTAATACTTTCTTCAATAAAACCATAAAAAATAATACTAGAGACTATTGCTCTCTTCTACAAAACAAAAAGGCCCCTAATGCTAGAAACTATTTATTTCCTCACAAAAAGGACCTTTCCACTGGCTGTAACATTGGCACTCATAGTTATAATATAGATCACTTGATGGTATATAGGCTTTTCTTGAGGCAAGTCCATCACTGGATGGATGATTGCCTGTACGTACAGAAAGGTCTGGTCTATTGATGCTTTTGCTCGAAGGTAATTTGTCGGAAGTTGAAGATTGTGTCCGGGGGACTGCTGATAGTTCTACAGAACTGTCGTTGTTAAACAGTAGAGAGTTATTCAAACTTGCCTCAGTGGTTGTTAGATCTGGCTTCTTTGGATTATCGGATCTCAAACTGAATGTGTTATTTTGTTTATTCGTGAGGTTAGCAATGTAGTTATGTACATCGATTAACCTATCCAGTAGAGTATACCCGGTGTATTCTACATGTAAGCCTTTTGTTATAGAATTGGCCAGTGTTGTATTTGTTTTATTTATTGTGAATGAGCTGTTCACAAATGTGTTGATGCTGTTTATTTGGGAATTTAACAGTGCTTTATTCGAATTTTGTAAATTTTGAAACGTGTTATGAACTACACTTCTAATACCTTCTACTTTGGCTATATTGCGTTGATGTATATTTGTATTGTTTTCATATTCGCTAGTACGAAGTGTGTTGCTTCTCTGACTCGATGGAACCGTGGTGCTATATCCCAGGTTGACCTGCCGCGTCTGAGCTCGTAATAACACCGTCCTGAACATTTGTAAAGCTTGATTTGTTCTTGCTTGCTGATCTTCACCATGAGATCTTTCTGCTAAAGTCATCTCATCTGTTGTTCTATTCCGTGCTGAGATAAGTTTGCCATTCGATTGATTGGGAAAACTCTGGATGTTGCTACGGCTGGATGCCGCTACTTCCAAATGATAGCCCTTATGTCTAAGATACTGATCTGTTTGTTCTTGAACGGTAGCAAGTTGAGTCTGATCTGTCTGTGAAGACTTTTCCAGTATGCCTGCTGTACTTTGAGCGTAGTCTTTCCTCACGCACCTACCTCGCCCGCCACACAAACGTATACTACAGTTAGTGAATTTGTCCGTCAGCTGAGACACATACGATTTAGGCCACATGACTAGTGTTGTCGCCATGGACTGTACAGGCTAGCATTATATGTTTGTGCTCGAAAGAAAAAAAATCTCCAGTCTTACCGAGATTTCGAAACTTCTTTCGTCTGAGAACCCTACGTTTTCAAGCCTTCGGCCATTCGCTCCTCATTTTTTTTCCAATAGTAGTTTGTGTGTGTGTGTGTGTGTGTGTGTGTGTGTGTGTGTGTGTGTGTGTGTGTGTGTGTGTGTGTGTGTGTTTCGTGGGCCACACACAGCTGGCATCTCAGCTCTCTTTGGATCTAGTCGATAAGTGCACCGGCTTTATTTTTGTACTTGTGGTGGGGGCTGATTTATGTCCTAATGGGACAAACCGTTTCCCTCTTGATGGAAGTGCACAGCTTCATGAGACGGTCCACCTTTTAATAAAACTCCCCGTGTGGGTTCCGGGGCCCTATTGTAGGGAAAACAAGAATAGACCCACTGCCTACCCAAAAGCATGTTCGTAAGAGTCGACTAATTGGGAGCTTCCATCGAAGAACAATTTCATGTCTATTTAGTAGAGTGACCATAATATTCTGAGCCAGAATGGGACGTCGCCATTATATTTAGAACTGAAAACATGACATCACCATAATATTAGGAGCTGAAAACATGACATCACCATAATATTAGCAGCTAAAAATATGACATCAACATAATATTAGGAGCTGAAAATATGACATCACCATAATATTAGGAGCTGAAAACATGATATCACCATAATATTAGGAGCTGAAAACAGGACATCACCATAATATTAGGAGCTGAAAACATGACATTACCATAATATTTATACCTGAAAACAGGACATCACCATAATATTAGGAGCTGAACACATGACATTACCCTAATATTTATACCTGAAAACAGGACATCACCATAATATTAGGAGCTGAAAACAGGACATCACCATAATATTAGGAGCTGAAAACATGACATCACCATAATATTAGGAGCTGAAAACATGACATTACCCTTATATTTATAACTGAAAACAGGACATCGCTATAATATTAGGAGCTGAAAATATGACATCACTATAATATTAGGAGCTGAAAACATGACATTACCCTTATATTTAAAACTGAAAACAGGACATAGCTATAATAATCATAACTGAAAACAGGACATCACCATAATATTTAGAATTGAAAACATGACATCACCATATTTTTAATTGAAAACAGGACACCGCCATAATATTTAGAACTGAAAACGGGACATCACCATAATATTTAAAACTGAAAACAGGACATCGCCATAATATTTAGAACTGAAAACAGGACATCGCCATAATATTTACAACTGAAAACAGGACATCGCTATAATATTCAGAACTTAAAAAAAATACATCGTTAAAATATTTGTAATTAAAAACAGGACATCAACATAATATTTACAACTGAAAAGATGACATCACCATAATATTTAGAACTCAAAACATGACCATCATCATAGTATTTACAACTGAAAACAGGACATCGCCATAATATTTAGAACTGAAAACAGGACATCGCCATAATATTTAGAACTGAAAACAGGACATCGCCATAATATTTAGAACTGAAAACAGGACATCGCCATAATATTTAGAACTGAAAACAGGACATCGCCATAATATTTTGGAAAGCTCTTGTCCGGTAGAGGGACTTGTGAAACACAACTGACTGACTGACTGACTTTCTACCCCACCAGGACATCACACAAGCGACAAACACCTGATGACACAAAGTGCCACCATGCGGATGAGGATCACCGTGGAGAGGTCCCAGAAACCGCGTTCAGACATTTGGCCATATTTATGGCCTGCCTATATTGCGGCCCCCGGCAAAAGCCAGGGTGGAGTTTCAAATAAAAAATTTCATCCTGAAAAGGACGATAGAGAATAATAACACCACCACGAGGTGTGAAACACAACGATCACGAGAGCTATTTCAACAGTAGCTTCGCTATTGGTACGGTCTCCGGTGGTCGAAGGTTTGGGAAAGCAAAGCGATCGCTTATTTTGACTAGCAAGAACCAATCGCATAAAACATGGGCCGTGATGTGTCCATTGACATACGCTTCAAAATCGCGTTATTGTGTTGCTTGTCCTTGAGAATTTACACCACAAATTATCTCTTCCAAAACATACGTACCTTACTAAAGAAATTGTCTGCCTGTACTATCGTATACGCTACAATTGGAGTGCTAGCTTGACCATACATAGCTCGCATCCTGTAAGATATAGATATACACCCGTTAACATTGAGTCAGAGGCCAATGACGCTCAAGTTGAGTCAATCAATTGCTGATATTACATATTCAGGCTGTGCGTTAATCATAAGTCATTCCAGCTGGAATATATTCATTAGAATTATCTATACTACACCGCCTAACTGTTAGCTATAATTTTCACAGGAGGAAGTTGTCGTTAAACTTACTATTCAGTTTGAAAGTACTCATTTAACAATGCGTGTTACAATGAATAAATAGCTGTATACAAAACAATAGTGTGTACGAAACACACACTTAGAGATCTACGCAACAAAAGTACTGCATTATTTTTTTCCAGTTTTCATTTTAAAACAATCGATGAGCATAAATATATTTTAATGGGAGCAAAATACAATTTAGATTTGTATTGTGGCAGAGCATATTAGAACAGAGTGTAACTGATGTTTTACGGTACATGTAAACAAATCATGTCTTGGAAGGTGTTCTAGTCATATATAGCAATAAATTGTTTGTGTATGAATTTATTTCATGTGGTTGAGCATATGTATGTTCATGTTATGTATTGGAGTCATATGGTGGACTATGTTCATGTTATGTATTGGAGTCATATGCTGGACTATGTTCATGTTATGTATCGGAGTCATATGCTGGACTATGTTCATGTTATGTATTGGAGTCATATGGTGAACTATGTTCATGTCATGTATTGGAGTCATATGGTGGACTATGTTCATGTTATGTATTGGAGTCATATGGTGGACTATGTTCATGTCATGTATTGGAGTCATATGGTGGACTATGTTCATGGACTATTTTCATGTCATGTATTGGAGTCATATGGTGGACTGTGTTCATGTTATGTATTGGAGTCATATGGTGGACTATGTTCATGTTATGTATTGGAGTCATATGGTAAACTATGTTCATGTCATGTATTGGAGTCATATGGTGGACTATGTTCATGGACTATTTTCATGTCATGTATTGGAGTCATATGGTGGACTGTGTTCATGTTATGTATTGGAGTCATATGGTGGACTATGTTCATGTTATGTATTGGAGTCATATGGTGGACAATGTTCATGTCATGTATCGGAGTCATATGGTGGACTATGTTCATGTAATGTATTGGAGTCATATGGTGAACTATGTTCATGTCATGTATCGGAGTCATATGGTGGACTATGTTCATGTCATGTATCGGAGTCATATGGTGGACTATGTTCATGTTATGTATCGGAGTCATATGGTGAACTATGTTCATGTTATGTATCGGAGTCATATGCTGGACTATGTTCATGTCATGTATCGGTGTCATATGCTGGACTATGTTCATGTTATGTATTGGAGTCATATGGTGGACTATGTTCATGTCATGTATCGGAGTCATATGCTGGACTATGTTCATGTAATGTATCGGAGTCATATGCTGGACTATGTTCATGTAATGTATCGGAGTCATATGCTGGACTATGTTCATGTTATGTATCGGAGTCATATGCTGGACTATGTTCATGTTATGTATCGGAGTCATATGCTGGACTATGTTCATGTAATGTATCGGAGTCATATGCTGGACTATGTTCATGTTATGTATTGGAGTCATATGCTGGACTATGTTCATGTTATGTATCGGAGTCATATGCTGGACTATGTTCATGTTATGTATTGGAGTCATATGCTGGACTATGTTCATGTCATGTATCGGAGTCATATGCTGGACTATGTTCATGTCATGTATCGGAGTCATATGCTGGACTATGTTCATGTTATGTATCGGAGTCATATGCTGGACTATGTTCATGTTATGTATTGGAGTCATATGGTGGACTATGTTCATGTCATGTATTGGAGTCATATGGTGGACTATGTTTATGCATGAATCAGAGTAATAAGCTGCAATCAGCCGCACTGGAACATGGACTCTCATCAACCTCGATGTCCCTAATTGGGGCGGTCTCAGTGAAAACTTAGGGGAAGAGACTGAAGTTTCAACAACGCTACGATATTGTGATTATTATTTTTTTTTTTTTTTTGCACAGTTAAACAAGGATTCAACTCTTTGAACTTACTGGCTGCTAGAAAATTATTGGATGGGTGGGGATCAATGGGCTAAATCCTTTTTTTACTAGCGCAATTATTTTTATTATGATTATTATTATTATGATATTGACTAGTATAAGTAATATAAAAACAAATACTTTAAAAGAGAACGTAGATGCGCTATACATGGTTGGGGGAATCACTGACAGCACTTACTGACCTTATAGCCTCGTTTAGAGTTGATTCTACCCGCTGTTTCATCTCACTGGAAGTCATGTCTCGTAAATAGATAGATGGGTAAATGCCCGTACTGGCTCGACACAACCACGATATTCTGTTGAAAGCCATCGAAGTCGTCAAAAATAGCCTGATTTAACTCTTTTCCCACCATTGATACATTAGGGATAGTGTGTTTAGACAAAAAAATTTGTATATATCAGTAATTCCTCAATGGGTGATGGGATCAACCTCTAGCTTGCTGCCTTTACCTTACAGAATATTTCTAGTGCTCATTTAAGGCTGGGTGAATCTGGGAACTTGGGTCGATGATAAAATACCGGATACCGTACGGATTTAGGTTTTTAGACAAATATCTTGCCCCAGAACTACTGAAGCTTCCAAATAAATAAATATATTGTGGTTTCGACCAAATGTGTCCCGGCGAGTTTTGTCAACTTGTCGAACATTTTTTTGAAGTTTTATATATATATTTTTTTTATTATTAATTAATTTTTTTTTTTTTTTTTTTTTTTTTTTTTTTTTTTTACATTTGAGAAAACAATGGATGAATTACGGTGTTGTATTTAATTATTCATGGTGTAGCAGCTAGACGCTGTCCTGGAGATCCGAAGGTGGTGGGTTCAGCTCCTGACGAATCCTGACAATTTTTTAAAAATTGATATTGGCTCCCATGCTGACCCAGCTCTAAATTGGAACCAGGTAAAGTCTTTGGACGTAAAGGCCTCCGATGTCACGTTGACTACACCTTCCACCGAGGTTTAATACTATATGCCCAATGCGTCTGACGGCCTCGAGAGAGTTACTTTTGGTTTAGATGTTTTTTTTTTTAATTATTATTACAAACGTTTTCCTTGAAGTCAGAGTACATCTGCCGGTGAGGCAGGGAACGAGAACTGCAAACAAACAAGCCAGTAAAACGGATCTACACACAAAACTCAGGTCCAGGTAAAAGCGAAAAGTCCAAATGGACGAACAACCGGGACTTTCCGCCGGAATTCACAGCCGGTGGACGAGAAGAAGAAGAGAAACATGTGTCTGGCACTATCGGCGACTTATGTAACTTACTGCACACACACGCACGCGCACACACACACACACACACACACGCGCGCGCACACACACACACATACAGAGAGAGAGAGAGGGGGGAGAAGAGACCAAACACACATACATACACACTCTATCGGTTGAGGTAATTATTGTTTTGTTCAATCATTAGGACAGCTGTCAAAAGACATTGAAACCTGAATCCTGTAAACAAAAAACATGGCACTTGCCAAGTCACCATGCAGACTCACCGTGTGGGTTCGAATGCACAGCTTTAGGGCGAAAAGAATAGTCTGTGCCATTAATAAGCACGTCGTCAATAAAGACTAATTGGGAGTTTGCTCAACTGAAAGGCGCATAGATGGCAGCTAAATGTAAACCACAACACAGCTAGACAACAGCCATTTTATTAGCCGACACAGAGGATGAGAAAGAAGCATACAGGCAAAGCTTGTTTGTCTTCAAATGTTCACCTTTTGTCGGCGCGTTTTTTTTTTTAATTATCTTTGATTACGTCCCACCTCTGAGTCCAACTTAGGTACTGTCTCTTCCCATAGACTGTAAGCAAAACTTGTCCGTATATGTCATTCTATTGCACGTGCCGCACTGTTATTTGCACTGTTATCTAAAAAAAAATGTGTGGTATGAAATATGTCGGTGAAACGGGGCTTTTAAATGTACAAAACGGTACCCTCATACCAGTACCCTTGCATTTCTATCTCAGGATTACTAAGAAGTCCTTTTCATTGAGGTTACGGCCATCAAATCTAACCGTCCTAATGACAGTGTGCGTAAGTCTCTCAAAAACCGCCTTATACATCCCATGAGTGACATTTCTCCTAGGGGATTTAACAATCGACACAACTCTTTTTAAAATCATTAGGTTACGGTCCTTGTTTTCTTGCCAGTATTTTGGTTTTCAGTGGCCACACGTGTCATTGATTCTCCTAGCCGGACAGCAATGTGATTGATTTCTATCGGAAATATGTCAGGTAAGTGAATGTGTGTATTCTTGTTAATTTTTTTAGGTATTCCAGATGTATCAAATGTGCTGCTGGAGGCTCTCCAGCCGCAATGTATACTTTTTGTTTGTGTTTGTGTCACTGTGAAGATGACTGATTGTACTTTTCGTTTTTTTGCATTATGTCTTTCCACGATCCTTTGATTACCGTGTCTTTTTGTGTGAACAACTAAAATGCCGTTTGAAAGCAAGAAGTGTCAACGAAGTGTCAACTTATTGCATCAGGTTTTTGTTCTATGTATCTAAGTTTCTCTCCACAGAGTGGATGGTCTTGAGCGAGTGCATTGCACAAAGCACAAACACTGTAGCTCCAGCAATGACTGCCAGGGACTTCATAAAAACACTCGAAGATAGGGATAAGTCAGAATTCTAGTCCCCACTCTTCAAAGACGAGGCTAGCGGCATAAATGCTGTATTGTTATTTCTCGACCATTGCTAACTTCTTCAATTCCTACAATTATTGTCGTTTAACAAACAAATGGAGCACTGACCGAGATGTGTGGACAAATTCATAGTGGATGGAATATCAAGAAAACAATTTTATTTTAATATTTACTTTGTTATCACAATGAAGCCCCGGTGGCGTAGCGGCCGGATGCTTGCCTTCTGGTCTGAACATCTTTATGAATTTTGTTTTAAACCATAGGTCGACCCAACATAAACTGGATACGCAGTGAAGCCTTGGGAAATAAAGGCTACCTACGTGATGTTCATTCCACTGTCAATCAGGTACCGACTTCTTCTTCTGCCTTTCTAGCCCCCAATGGAGCATAGACCCTCAACCAACTCACGCAAACTCGTTCTACCTTTTGCTATCGCATGCAGCTCTCCACATGTCCTCCCCATTTCTAACTTCATTCTCCAGCTCTCTTCTCCAGGTGTTTTTTGGCCTTCCTTTATTCCTATGCCCCGGTGGGTTTCAATGCAAAGACATTCTAGCTATGCTGTTATCTTGTTTTCTCAGTGTGTGTCCTATCCAACGCTAGCGTCTTTTCCTCACCTCTTGGTCCACTGGAGTTTGCTTGGTTCTCTACCAGAGCTCTACAATAATTATTCTATAATACCATATAATTCCCATATAATGAATGTCTGTAATTTATTGGTAATTGCCTGAGTTGTTCCCCACGTTTCCGCCTCATACAGAAGTACTGATTTGACACTCAAATTAAAAATTGTAAGTTTAGTATTTCTTTCAATTTTTTTTTTTACCTCATCAAATTCCCTAGTCCTAAGAAAGCTCCTCTTATTTTTTTAATTCTTTTTAAAATATCTCTATCAGTTCCCCCATCTTCATCTACATTACTGCCCAAATAGGTGTACGACTCCATGTCTTGGAGTGGGGTGCCATTAAGAGAAACCGCATTACTTTTTGGCTGATTTATTCTTATTATCTTTGCCTTTTCTTTAGAGATTTTCAGACCTATCTGCTGTGATTTCGCATTAAGTATATTTAATTTATCTTGCTTCTGATTCTGTGACTGGGACAGAAGAGAAATACCATCAGCGAAGTCCAGCTCTCCAAGCTGTTTTGTAGGGGTCCACTGAATTCCATTTTTGGTGTTAGCAGTTACTGTCTTCATTATCCAGTCTAAAGCCAGTAAAAATAGGAGAGGCGACAAAAGACACCCCTGTCGCACACAGTTTTTTTTTTTTTTTTAATGTATATGTTAGCTTTCCTTCATTAATAACACGACATTTCATGTATGTATATGTTCTCTTTATTAAGTTAATAATTGTGTGTGGGATTCCATAGTGCCCCATCAATTTCCAAAAAGATTCCCTATCAATGCTGTCAAATGCTTTTTCAAGGTCTATGAATCCAATGTAAAGTGGTGAGTTCAGTTTAATACTTTTCTCTATTATAATACGTTATGTGGCTATCTGGTCAGTACAGGGTTTGTTTGACCGAAAACCTGCAGGTACCGACTAGGCTTCAGAAATATGAGTCTAGCATTATATGCCCGATGTGCCCATGACGTTAAAAGGGAACTTTACTACTTTACTTGTTCTTACAATGTTGTGGTGAGACTACGGTACATCACGTGTGTGTGTGTGTGTGTGTGTGTGTGTGCATGTGTGTGTGCGCGTGCGCGCACTTTGACACCTACTTACAGTGTTGTAGCCAGACTACGATACACCACGTGTGTGTGAATAAAAGCCCATCAATGTTGTTGTTAGAGTTATGGGACGCCATGTGTGTTTGTCTGTCTGTGTGTGTCCATACCCCAACTTCCACTTACAATGTTGTAATGAGATCTTCGGCACGCCATGTCTTTGCTGGCATACCCCGACATTAACTTACAGTGTTCTAGTCAGACTTATGGTGCGACATGTTAATGCAATCCCCGACATTCTCTCTGCGCCCCATAAAGCCCCATCCCCCTATTCACCCCACCCATAGCATGCTATTGGTATCGTCTTTGATGCCTCCGCAATAACGGCATCCATTGTTACAATTACATTACTGTCTCTAGAGTCACGAGTAGACTGTATAGATGTATCGGTAGCATCAAACACCTAGTACCTCTCTCATCATGGAAGAGAGATCATTGTATGTATATTCATTTATTATTCAACACTGACAAACTCACCTGTCATTGACGGCTCGAGTTTGCTCTGCATCCCCCCAAGTCTGAGGGTACAGGTAGTACCCCCAGTGGGCGTTAGGACGAACCGCTCTCGCCTCCAGCAGGCTCTGCTCCATAAATTCCCTATTGCGAACACATCGTATGCATAAGATTTGTAACACAGACATTCACATCGTTGTTTCAACTCTCCTTACTAATTAATTATATACAATAGTTTAAAAGTTTAAAATTGAGAGAATCGATTTCAATAACCAGATTCTTATTCGATGTGTCTCAGTCTCTCTTTTTGCATAATGACCAGCCGTCTACAGAGACTGTCACAAAGCGCAAACTCCAGCCATGATCCAAAGGGATTTTTATGAAAACTACACTCATGAACCTAACTATACAGTCCTGGAAACGAGCCTGACAACTTCAAAGCTCGACGCAAACGGTTTTACCAGGTCGCCATGGATATTCCCAGAGGCTCTGTCAGTACCGAGCTGATGGTAACGTCACCTTCTACTATCCGAACAGTTTGAGCTAACGGGGGGTGAGAAGACTGGCATTAGACTACATACGTATAAATTTAGACCGTGAAAAGATCCGATAACCGTCCGGTAACTTGCCCTTTTCCAGCGCTTTAGCTTGTATACAATCATGGAACGGTTCTACAATCCCAACAAACTTCTCAGACAAACAAAGTCCGCCATAACTTTCTTCATACCTGCTCTGTTGAGTATCGACAGTCTTTGTGACATCTAAAAATGAAGAATAACGGTCGCTAGCGAGCAGGAAAATCCTTGGCAATACGCCTTCGTTCCTTAAAAAACCCACATTGGCGCTCTCTAAGGAGGCCGTAATCTACCTGTACTAAAATGAGATTAAGGAGAATTTTAGCGAGCATCTTTCTATTTTCCCAGCAATGGGGGTTACATTTGCGGACTAACCATCAAGACAAATAAGACTGGTTATCTGTCACCTGGCTCCCCGCAAACATTACTGTGTTCATAACACAACAATAAATTTTCTCAAACTAAAGGTAGTCGATAGATTCACTTGTCTTGGCTTTGCCCCCTCTCACAGTTACTATCAACGACGATACCTCTAGAATCTCAAAGGCCTGCAGTATTTGAGGCAGAGTTTATTTCGACGTCTGGAATTAAAATGATATTTCCCTGAATTCCAGAACTTAGGGCTTACGGCACTACAGTCTTACCAGTACTAATCTAAGCATGTATCATACGAAGCAGTTGAATCGTTTATTAACTTATCTTAGATAACTGCTAAAAATCAAACATGTTTCCGAAGACTAGTTCACGAATGAACAAACCTGCTAAGCATTCACACGGTACCAAAAAAAAAACGATCAGCTCCGTTGAACTGGTTAATCTGCGCAGTCAGACCACTGCTTTAAAAGAGTAATATTTTACATAGAATTCAACATGGAAAAAGATTACCTGGAGGACAAAGAGAAAAACCGCCATATGGACACCCTCAAAGTTGCTCCTAAATCTGTTGTCTTATAACACAGAAACATGGGAGGCTGTCGCCCAAGACTGATATGGATGGTGTCCAGCAGTCAAGTATGGCTGCATCAGCCTGCAAGGCTGCGAAAGCAGCACTGACAAAGGGAGACAGAACAGAAAGAAATACAATCATGTGGCAAATCCCGCCTCTGCTGTCTCTTCCATCTGCTATATGCACTCCTAAAGAACTTCGGAGGCTCGAATAGGACTCTGTGGTCATCCTCGTGTCCGGAGCCTGGGAGTTCAGGTCCCTTGAGCCGCCACAAATAATTATGGTAACTCTTTACTGAAGACAGCTTATTTTACACGCCAATCTAACGACTTCACGTGACTTAAAATGGAATACATGTCTACTTTAATTGTAAGTCGTGTCCGTGTTTCCCCCATCCTAGAATAACAGTGAGCCAGCGATTTGTATATGTGGTATCAGGGAGGAAATAAGTTGTTTCCTAGCAAGTTGTTTCCTACGTATAATAAAGATGAGGTTATGTCAACTAATCATGACACTGCGTAAAACAAATATATGGCGATCTATGCTAAATATGACACTGCGTATAATGAATATGGGGCTAAGAATAATAAACAAGGCACTGTATAAAATAAACATGGGGCTATGTACACTAATTATGACACTATGTATAATAAACATGGGGCTATGTACACTAAATATGACGCTGTGTATAATAAATATAGGGCTATGTACACTGAACATAAACAAGTGGTTGTGTATATGGAAATAGGCTAAGTATCATAAATAAGTGGCTATTTGTGTGTTTAGTTAAGAATCGACACCACATAACTCAGGATATTTCCATAAGCGTTCTGTCCACATCTTCAGAAGCCCGCGAAGAGTTCCAGTACTGGTGGTGCTTTTAGCAGTTAACGCTGGGCATATTGGGCATAAGGTTACAAACAATAGATATGATGATACTACAACAAACACGTAGCTACGTACAATAAACGTGAAACTACAATCAACACAACACACACACACAAGTACCTGGCACTCTTGTTCCATTCTTCTTCAGCAGATCCCTGTTTGTTATTGGCTTCGACTACGCTGGCATGTCTGAAAGTAAACATTTGTGAGACAGTAAGCAGACCTAACCCATAATCAATCACTTAAAGGATCAGGTGCTGATATAGTGTGACAAGCATTATCTGCATTATGTTCACTGCTGCCGCAGAGCATTGATTCTTTTTTTATTTTGCCACAACCATCTCCACATGGACTTTAAGGAAAGGCTCCGGTCATATGTGATTTCCAATTACTTCAGTTTGCGCTCTCCGTTGACGTGTCTACCATCTATTGTCAGTCTGGTATAGCTCTAACAATCCTGTTGTATATACGATACCATAAAACAGACACGTTTTCTGGGTGGACGACAAGATTCATTTCTGTGCACCAGTCAGTCACTTTGTCTGCTGTCGCTTCTAGCTCCTGGGCTGTTTGTTTTCTATTTCACCCTTGCCTAAAAAGCGAGAATATCATCTGCAAATTTCGGTATCCTTCCTATCCTTTAGGATCTTAGGCTTGCAGTCCTGCTCGTGTACACTTTCAATAGCACAGACGAGAGGATGGATCCACCGCTGCCGCCAACGTTTCTCGTATGTCCTGATACCTTCTATAGACGTCAGAGGATGAATTAATTGCATTTAACCCTGCATCTTTTCCTGGCCAGTAGCTCCCCATGAATCTTGTGTGAAACTTTCTCTATTTCAAAATTCTTGCGGCTTGACAGCGACCGTCTTCTTCAATGTATTTTTGTAAGGTGATGATTCTAAACTCACTGAACTTTGCCTGATCCTTAAAATGGATTTGGAAGAGTGACGAGACAACTGTGCACACAGTGTGAGGTAGGATGCTGTGCCGTTGCTCTGCTTAAAGCAGTCGGTCATCTCCCTTAGATCTACAACGCTCAAAGCCTTCATGTGGCCATACCTGACCACATCTGGCCCGGGTGCAGTGTCTTTTGCCTTTTTCAAACTTTGTTTGATTCTTCCTATTGTATGATGTCTTCATAGTGCATATTCTTTATGGTGCCAGATAACTCCTCTCTAACGGCATCCCTGATGTCTACATCATTATGATCTGTCTTAGCTATAAACCTATAAAGAAACGCCTCCCCTTTCTCCTTGTTTGTTATCAAGCGTACATAATCGTCGGTACAAATTGTTCTCACTGTCCTAGGCTGATCTTTCTTTCGCATATGTCAGCAGTTTGCAGAATTTTCCTAGCGTTTTATAGCCTTCATGTCATTCACGAAATACTTCCACTTCTTGGTTTTTTTTTTTTTTTTTTGCCTCTGCAGCACAGCTCCTGAAAATCTCCATCCTATTATTTTTATTTTTAATTTTCCGCCTTCTCCACTTCCTCTCGTGAGTTTAAGGGTGTCTGTCACACTTTCTTTTGCTGCTTCACTGTAATTCTCTTAGCCTTCCACACTTGTTCTACTTCTGGAGTCCACCATGGGAGCTGAATAAAAATCAGTTTTGACAGACCTGTTACACGCCCTCTGTCTGAGGCGTCCAAGCAGATTGTTGGTCCACTAATCCTAGCATAAACCTTACTGAGTTTGGAAATCAGGACTTAACATGGTAGGTGATCACTCCCAAAGTCAGTTAAGACAGTCCCCTTTCCATCTAAAACCGACGACAAGGAAACAAATGCCAAGTCAATAGCTGTGTCTGCATCGCCAGAACTCATTGCCACGTATATACATACTTTTTTTGTGTGTGTCTTTATATGTATTTTTATTATATGTTGGTTAAAGCTTCCACCGCAGAATCCTTAACTGGATAGTTGCACAAATTTTAATCATAATTAATTTTAGTCATCCTGTCAGTACTCTTTTTTTTTTTTTAAAATACTTGGACCATCTGTTGCCTATCTCCTCCTAGACTGTAAAGGGAGATAAATAACTATATATATATATATATATATATATATATATATATATATATATATATATATATATATATATATATATATATAACTATTTTAAAGGACGCAAAAGAAGCCATATATAAAGGTGAAAGATACTCCAGCAAAGGTTAAGTTTTAGTGAGTGTGACTATTTATCAGAAATGTGCATACACCTGGCCACAAATATCACTTTTAAATTTGACACTTCAGCCAGACTGGTATCTAAAAAAATTATCCAGCTACTGTTCATCCTTTGAGAGGAGTCTTATTTCACTGAACATGTACAGACTAAATAAAAATCCACTGCCGAGCCAGATAGGTTAACCACTCCACTATGGAGACTTTCTTCTGTCAACCGCTGACCTTGACGTCTCAGGATATTTCCTGATACTCAGTTTAGACAATCTCAGCCAGCAAGTCAAGATAATTTATAAAATGTCCGCTTTGGTGCAGATTTGAACCTTCGGCCTGTCAAGAAAGAATATGATCGCTCTATATTATTATTATTATTATTATTATTATTATTATTATGAGCCAATTTACTTGTAAACTGTGTACATCCCATAGTTAAGGTCATAGAGGGTACGCCATTCTTCCTGGTCTAAGACAGCATACCCTGTTGAGCTTGCCGGTATTTGCTTGGCGATATCCTTCCGCAGCTGATCCAGGTGGGCAGTCAGGTTGGCCAACTGTTTAAACAGAACAGTGCTAAAATATACAACAGTGATGCATAAAACAAAAACAGAAGAAATGCTATTTTGGTTTCAACCAGCATCTTTTTTTTATGGTAAATTCGGTAGAGATATCATCAAACTCTAATCTGCTGTGATGTACGGTAAGCATAGTCAGATTGCCGTGTGAGTTATCACTTTATGTTACCAGGGCCAGACATGATAACTCCCAACATCCCGGGACAGCAAATTAGTAACCATGATAACGAGATGTTTGAGATGGGCTGCAGGGGTGATCAGAAATAATACATTCGGGAATGATGTCTTAGAAAAAAATTACCCACTTGGAATGAATGTCTTGTAATGTCTTACCATAAAAATTATACACCAAAGGAGGAGAAGGACGTAGAGCGCACGGTTGAGAAACTCTACAACAGCGTAATGTGTCTATGGACGATGCGAGTAGTATAGTGGAGTTTTACGAAGTCCATTTTTTCTGGAATTTTTCTCATACATTTCCACTTCACATTCAACTTCTGCGTCATTCGCAAAAGTCTCCCGCCAAGGGGGGTTTTCAGTAGACCAAAACGGTTGAAATCGCTAGGCGATAAGTCGGGGCTGTAATGTGGATATTCCAGAGGTTAATTTTAATTCTTCAGGTGGTAAATTTTATCCTGAATTAATCGAGCCGTATGTGGTCTGGCATTGGCATGAAGAAGAAGTACTCCTCTAGTCAGCCGGCCTAGATTTTTTCTTCCAATAGCATCATGAAGCATCGATAAACTTTTACAATAAGAATCAGCTTTCACATTGTCATCTCTTCTTTTTATCCGTTAAAAACACTCTTTGACAATTCCAGAACACTGATAGCACCTTCCCTGCTGATGGCAAAACCTTTAATTTTTTAACACAAGGCGAAGACGGATGTTTCCATTGCTTTGAAATACTTTGATTCGGGCTGGTAGTGATGCACCATTGATTCGTTCCCAGTAATAATCCTGTTAAGCATTCTTCTACTTCATCTGCGTATCGACAGAGACGCTGCAAGGACAGGCTAAATCGGTTCATTTTGTGTTCGTCCGTCAAGTGTCAGGATACCCACTTTGAGCACACTTTCTTAAATTTCAATCGATCATGTATTATGTTGTATGCTAAACCATGTCAGCACCCTATTGCAGCTGCTACAGGGTCAACCGTTACTCACTTGTCACCTCTAATCATCTTCTCCGTCAGCAATCTCGACAGGACGGCCAAATCGGACTTCATCAACAATTGTAGAGCTCCTTGAGAAAATTTTTTTATCCAGCTATAAACCGCTTCACGGGATAAACATTTGTCAGCATAAACAGGAATAATTCCCTTATGAATGTCCTTTGCAGGCAGCCCTTTTGCCCAAAAAACGCACACACACACACACACACACACACACACACACACACACACATATATATATATATATATATATATATATATATATATATATATATATATATATATATATATATATCCAATACTCTATCCCTCACTTTCTCTCTTTCCTTCTCTTTTCTTCTCCCTCCCCCTCTCACTAACTCCTTTGCGCGTCCAAACTTGCTCACTTTTAGATCGCTCTTTGTTTTGGTCTTCATTTTACCCTCTACTTATATCACTGCCAAGCTCTCCTTTGACTGTCGTCAATTTTCCAGTCTAGTATAATATGTGTGATTGTCCTGTGGTCGATGTATTCCACTTGTCTGCCTCCTCTGATTTCATTCCCAGTCTATACAAACACACTTGTATTTGGACGCTTTCCATCTCCCCTTACGACATCTTCGGCTGAGTTTGTATACCTTCGCTTTTCATTTATCTTGCTTCACGAATGTTGTTCCAAGCGAGATGTTAAGAATCCTGACACGGACATGAGCATTTCACGTGTCATGTATGGCGTAACGTCACTGTCAAAGCTGTCATTTATTCTAGCTGGAGACATCGTAGGTGGCTGCCTTGTTACTGACAGATGTTACAAAATACGCCAGCGTTTCACGACCGTTACATCAGATTTACGTTTAAGTAATAACAGGTGGAGGATAACGAATCCAGTTTTAGCGACTTTATATCAAATTGGGAATTCGGCGCTAGTTCACACATTTTTTTTTTTTTTTTATATATACAATCAATAAATACTCATTGAATAATGTGGCCAGAACTTGTCGATGAATCTGTTTAGTGAAATGTTTCATTTCCTGACTTGGGTATGATGTGAAAATTATGATGTGAAAATTTCCTATTTTTTGCGCCTATCAGAACTCGATAAGCATTGTGGTAAATATCATCTGAGGGTATGGATGATAGATGCGAAAATTGGGAATGGGAGGAAAAAGTTGAGGGTTGGCTGTCTTTAAGTCCAAAAAATTTATGGGTGCTTTTTTATAAAACTGGTAGACCTGAGAGATCTCAGGTTAGCGCAAAAGCTTTGCTCCAGATTACCTTTTTGTTCTTCTTGTTCTTCTTGTTCTTTTTCTTCTTCTTCTTCTTCTTCTTCTTCTTCTTCTTCTTCTTCTTCTTCTTCTTCTTCTTCTTCTTCTTCTTCTTCTTCTTCTTCTTCTTCTTCTTCTTCTTCTTCTTCTTCTTCTTCTTCTTCTTCTTCTTCTTCTTCTTCTTCTTCTTCGTCTTCTTCTTCTTCTTCGTCTTGGCGTCCACCAGCTGTGAACTGCGGCGACAGTTCTGGTTATTGGTCAACGTCTTGACTATGATCTTGTTCTAGAACTTGAGTTTCGCATGCGCATCCGTTTTACAAGATCTGTCTGATTTATATGCAGACTGCTTCGAAGAAAAGACCTCAGTTAATCGCCTTTTACGACATTATTGATAAGGGACAGTATGTATATAACCCCTCCCCCCCCCCCCCCCCCGATACCTCTCCCCGCCCCACTTCCAAGAGCCCACAGAATACACACGGCGAAGGTGTATTGCCCTAGCATCTCTACTACAAGCGTGTTGGTCAATGCGCCGTTGCGTCTCCCTTCTTAGCTCTAATGAAGTTTGCATCCCATGTAATTCAGCTGGGAGTTTCTGATCTCTGTGGTCATTGTTATAAGATTATGGTAATTTTGTCATGTTCTTGATAGTGGCTGTAACTGAGTTTGTGCTGGCCCAATTTTAAGTAAAATGTCTGTTTTTTGTTAGTCAATATTTAATAATTTTAATTGTAGGGTGAGATGTCTTAGCTGTGGCTAAATGTATGTTATTTTAGTACAATCTATGATCATTTGACCATACAGTACTGGCCTATATGGAGTCCATATTAATTGTAGCGTTGCTGGGTTACATTTGTTTGCGACTTCTTTCCCTCTGTTGAGCTTCCTAGTCATAGTGTTTTGTTTAGCTACATTCTAATTATAGTATAAATCAATACCACATATCGAGAAGTCCATACTAATTGACATGTAAATCAGTATCACATACTGCTAAGTCCATATTAATTCTAGTGTAAATCAATACTAAATAATGCAAAGTTCATACTAATTGTAAGTTAATTAATAACACGTACTGCTAAGTCTTTAATTCAATCACCTATAATCTTTACTAATACGTTATGATATAAGTGCCAAGCAAGGTCAATAAATAAGGCATTAAAACAGAAAATAACTAAATGTGAAATGAGCTGTCTCTGTAGTGGCACTAACAACAAAGGAATGGAAAGGGTGACGAATACCAGCATTAGAGAGAAATTTAACCACACAAATAAAAAAGGGAAGGTGTCTAAATTATGTTGACAGGCAAGTATAGAATTGTTCCGCAATCTTGTGAGAAAGCAGCCAAGCCAAGCTTTTTATGAGATTGTTTGTATACAAGAACATATGGGATGAGGGCATTGAGAAGACTAAGAAAGAGATGGACGTGGTGTCGCTAAAACCTGCACACACAAAAATGAAAGAACTATTCCTTTACCCAAGGCACCAGAGAAGCACAAAAAAGACAGAGAAAAACACAGCAGTGAGATATAACCTGGTATCAAAAGACGAAGGAAAAGAAGCTAAGTCTATATTAATTCTAATGTACATAAATACCATATATTGCGAAATCAATATTAATTGTGGTGCCAATAAATACCACATATTGAAAACTTTATAATAATTGTAGTGCAGATCTGTATCACATATTGGTACGTCCATCCTAATTGTAGTGTAAATCAATCTCACATATTGCTAAGTCTATGTTAAATGCAGTATGGTCTTGTTAGTTGTAGTTTACTGTGATGACTTCCGGTCAAAATGGACGCTAGGCGGGCCACTGTTTTGGAGCCGAGGCAATTTTTTTGCTTCTGCCGGACGGTGGCCGATGCATTTTTGTTCCATTTGTAGACTGGATATCGTTTCGTCGCCCAGCTTCTGAGTTGAATGCATGGCGTGACACTGTGAGCTGCGGATTTCATTTGGAATGTTTTTTTCGACTGTGACCAACGTGGTGGTGTGAATTGTAGATTTAAAAAATGGCGCTATGCCTGTTGTCGCAATTTTGGCGGTGTCCGTATGTGATTAAAATTGATCGCGTGGGCAACTGCCGATCTGTTTGTGACTTCTGCTACCATCAATGATGAACTGCATTTCTAATGTAAGACTGTTTGTGTTAGCACTTCGGATGGCTACCATATGCTTTAATGCGAGTGTATGCTAGATATGCTGAGACAGCAGTCTGTCAATCCTTCCACAAGGGACTGTGATAATCATACTGTGTGTTTTTCGTTGACACGGGAGCGGAGCAAAGATGGGGTGACCCATTTGCCATGAAGCTGAAACTAGGACTACCAGACACCAGTGTACTGTGAAAGTTACACTGTAATATATCTTTGTTATATATTATATTCAACAAATGTTAGCCTATCCGTTGGGATTCTTCTTCACCCATAATGCTTCTATGGTAATGCGAGTCGTTAGTCGAGACGCCAGCATCACTGCCCATGCATCGCCCCATAACTGCTCCCTCCTCTGCAAGTAGGAATCAAACAAAATGTCCTTAATGGTTCCATGTGGACACGGACGGAAAACGTGTCAGTAATAGCAAAATCTTGAAACTGCACATGCAAAGTCAAAATGCATAAGGGAACTGTCAGGTGTGTCAACACTAACGGTTCCATACCCCAACAGAATCCCACTGTTAGCACAAACGGTTAGCCAGTCACGAAGGACGGCATTGCACCAGTAAAAATACACTCTGTTCTGGACGTAATCTGCCATCAGCCGTTAATGTTAATGTCAACGTTTGTAACAATGGTGTCAATGTTTATAAACGTCAAGCAATTTTTGCTCACTCGTCGCACATCGGGCATTTTACGGGTGATGTTTTTATAGGACGATCGGCCATTATTGGGTGGTGTGGTTAACATCATCCCAGCATTTTTACTTGGCAGGACATTTATCATCATCATGTGCCCTGCCAACTGGCGTAGGCGCTCATGTGTCTCCACAGACCACGACCCCTTGTTGCTGGGAATAGCTCACTTGGTGATATCCCTCAATGCCATCGTTTCAGCCCATCCAGCATCATCTCTCTTGGTCTACGCCTCTTTCCATTGATCTTTCCAGTTGTCACGATGTTCTCCAATGTCTCTATTCTCATTGTGTGGCCAAAGAACAGCGTTTGTCTCTTTCTTATTTTTATATATATAGAGATCTACTTTCAATAGCTTCGGGAGGACATTAGCTGGCACATATTTGAAGCTGGATCGACATGTAAGCCAATGTCACCGGCCCTGTACGGGCTCGAAAACAAAACCTTAACGGTGTAAACGGGAACGTTCAATCATAGTAGTCACTCTTCCTTCAGAAAAGATATAATCACATACCTGTGGTATACCTCCATTGATTGGCTGTGTGATGTTGTCATCTTCAAAACTTGGCCATAGACCAACCTTGGAGGAATACAGGGTTGCGATCTCGTTGCCAACGAAAGTCCTGGGTTCATTGGTGACGATGCCATATTTGGACAGCTCAAGGTCGATGTTTCGGAGCTGACAGGATTCATCAGGGTAGTTCCAGACTACCCGGAAAGGACTTGGTTGCACATTTTCTTTCTGCTGTGTATAAAAAAAAAATTGTACTACCAGAGAATGAACTGTTAAACAAGTTCCATAACTTTTACTGGATGTCGCAAACTATTCCAACCTTTATTGGCTGTTTTTGAATCTCCTTGAACCTTCATTAGTTTATCATCGCCCTTACAACGCTCGCTACCATTGTCGAAATCAACACAAAGCGATCTTCTGGTCAAAACACATTCAACTGCATCACGTGGATGACCCTGTAGCTGCAGACGTCGACTATATAATGATCCGTATTAAAGAACAAGATCAAGACAACAACGGAGGTCCTTCTCGTATGTGCCGCAATTAAAACCACTGCCATATCTCACGATGTAACAGATCACGTGAAAAGACACAAGTGTCAGAATGTCGCAGCAGTCTTTTTGACTACATAATAAGGATTTTTTTTTTTTTTTAATCTAAAATTTGTGACAACAGGAAAGATTTATACGCTGCGAAACGGAAAAGGCATCGAGTGTATATTCGTCTTCTGTCTAGACATGCAGAGGTTTCAACATAGGAGCTTCACATACCGTTGAAGATAATACGTTTCGAAGCATTTCGACGACTCATTATATATGTGTTAATGTAACGTTGATAAGAAAAGTAGTGCACGTGGGGAGTTCAGGTGTTAGTAAAGAGGAGATATAGACTTCCATGTATAGTTCATATAGCCTTAGCATTATGTACCAGGACAAACAGTAATGATCTTGTTATTGAACTTGGAAGCCGCTGTCGTATAGCGGCTAGAATCTCACTTCGGGTCTGAATGTTGTAGGTTTAAATTAATTAAGCCCAAATTTTTTCTTAAACATGACCCTGGCTCCCAGGTCGTCCCAGCCTGAAATGAGTACATAGTAAAGTCCTGGGAAGTAAAGGCGGTCGGCGTGATGTTGACCACATTACCCATTGAGTGACGAACGGTCTATAAAATATAGGACAAGCACCACTATTTAACGTGTGACTATCAGAGCTGTTTTATTAAAGCTTTTTTGTAGCGATGATTAAGTTTAATGTCTGAATGTTGTGTTCAGCACCGACTTTGGTAATTGTGTCAGCCCAGTGGTTTTCCAAGAACAGAATGACAAAAACATTAGTAAATATGTTTTGACTGGCACTTATCGAAAAACTATAGATGGGAGGACACTTCCTCTGCTGCCTTTCTAACCCCCTATGGAGCATAGGCCCTCAACCAACTCACGCCAAGTTGTTCTATTCTTTCCTATCGCATGCAGCTCTTCCTGTGTCCTTCCCATCTTTTTAACCTCACACTCTAGCTAACTTCTCCATGTGTGTTTTGGTCTTCCTTAATTAATGTGTCCCTGTAGGTTCCAATACAAGGACATTCTAGTTATACTGTTCTCTGGTGTTCTTAAAGCATTTCCTATCCAAAGCCAGCGTCTTTTCGTCACCTCTTGATCCACTGGAACTTGCTTAGTTCTTTCCGAGGGATTCTACATAGTGATTCTATCATTCCATTTGATTTCCTCTATTCTGCGTAGGCACAAGTTAATGAAAGTTTGTAGTTTTTTAGTAGTTGCCTTAGTTGTTCTCGATGTTTCTGCTCCATACAGCAGCACTGATTTGACATTGGATTATAACAATATTAGAATAATGATACGAGGACACACTAGACAACAACCAATAATCGAAAGCTATAGTCATCATGCTAGGATTCAAACCTGTCGCCTCAAACTGGCGAGGACGCCTCGCTGCAGAAATATGTGTTCTTTGACTTATGACTATCTTGGCACCCCTAACAAATCGATCGATTTATGTATTCTCTCCGGGCTGCTTCCTAAAGGTTCGCTACATCGTCCTAACATTTACAAATTTCAGTCTGGAAAGCAGACCAGTAAGAAAGGTCCCAGATGCCCCTTTCAGCCCCATTAGAAGTTATAATTAGGGCACATGTAGCAGCTACCCCAGCCAGGTGTAATCTTCAATCCTGAGCAGGGTAACCTGAGGCGGCTACCCCAGCCAGGTGTAATCTTCAATCCTGTGCAGAGTAACCTGTAGCGGCTACCCCAGCCAGGTGTAATCTTCAATCCTCTGCGGGGGGTAACTGTAGCGGCTACCCCAGCCAGATGTAATCTTCAATCCTCTGCGGGGTTACCTGTAGCGGCTACACCAGTCAGGTTTAATCTTCAATCCTGAGCAGGGTAACCTGTAGCGGCTACCCCAGCCAGATGTAATCTTCAATCCTCTGCGGGGGTACCTGTAGCGGCTACACCAGCCAGATTTAATCTTCAATCCTGAGCAGGGTAACCTGTAGCGGCTACCCCAGCCAGATGTAATCTTCAATCCTCTGCGGGGGTACCTGTAGCGGCTACACCAGCCAGATGCAATCTTCAATCCTGAGCAGGGTAACCTGTAGCGGCTACCCAAGCCAGATGTAATCTTCAATCCTCTGCGGGGGTACCTGTAGCGGCTACACCAGCCAGATGCAATCTTCAATCCTGAGCAGGGTAACATGTAGCGGCTACCCCAGCCAGATGTAATCTTCAATCCTCTGCGGGGTTACCTGTAGCGGCTACACCAGCCAGATGCAATCTTCAATCCTGAGCAGGGTAACATGTAGCGGCTACCCCAGCCAGATGTAATCTTCAATCCTCAGCGGGGGTACCTGTAGCGGCTACACCAGCCAGATGTAATCTTCAATCCTGAGCAGGGTAACATGTAGCGGCTACCCCAGCCAGATGTAATCTTCAATCCTGTGCGTAAGCAAAGAAGGACTATATACTATTGGAGAAATAGTCTATTTAAATATAGATCATTTGCATAGAGGTGTACAGAGTGTGGACGTACCTGACACAGAACGATTTTCTGACTGGTCACGTGACATCACCTAAAATTGTCTGTTCTAGTGCTCTACTCACTGTCCATGTGAGGCACTGATAGCATAAAATAGCCTTAACGGTCGACACTCAATAAATAATCAACGAAAGGCGATCTGCCGCGAACTCGCCCGCTGCTGAATCGAGCTCGGTATTTCAGAATTATAAATCGCATTTGCAACTCCTAAGCCACAGACTCCGACGAAGTCATGTTGGTTCAGCACAGTTTTTTTTTTTTTTTTTAATCAAAGGTAAGGTACGTGTCGACGCCTCTGTGGGTATTTTGTTCTCTATTTATACAATACCAGCAGTGTTTGGTGTGTGATGTGATACCCATTTTAGACAATGTCATCCTGGGAGTGCAGATTATTAAAAGTACATCTCTGTGGGGATTCGAAGCTGTGACATATAGATCGACAGGCAAGCGTACACAATATACACTGGTAGTCCCATAGCAGATACTGCTGCTCGAGTTCGAAGTGATCACACATTTCACGCTATGATATGTGAGATTCCTTATAGAATTTCCTTTTTCACACAGTTCCCTGAAAATTTTGGAAATTATTTGGTGCTCACTTTAATGAGGCTGAGTCGACATCAGGAATTTTCACGTCGGAAAGACATCGGAAATTCTTGGATTTAACTCTTTCACTGTCTTGGTAGGCAGGCACACATAACCATGCATCAGCGCAGTTATAATAAATCTAAATATTAAAGAACTGATTACCTTAGTTGTCTGTACGGTGCTAACACAGGTTAACACACATATCACGGTCAGCCGAGAGCTTATCGCGCCCAGACAGCCAGTCCCGTCCTGCTGCCGCTGGAACATCTCCACAGATCTGGGCGGTCAGAATGAGAAGTGCTGGCAGTTATTGATCACACAGACTTCATTGAACAAAATAAACAATATGCGCTGGGCGCGAGACGTCGGACAACATTCACTTCGCCTTCACATAAACATTGTTGTTCGATTACACTTGTCCCTGATACAAAAGAAGGGCAACAAACACCACAAACTGCTACCCCTGAGGTGTATCAACGTTCCCTCTGGAATTGAAGAACTATCTTCTGGTAAAATTGTGACGTTGACTTTTCTGGATCTAGAGGTAATTGCTAGTAAGTCGTCAAGCTGTGCTGATCTACTTCTTTTCTTCACTTCCTCTTTTATCGCTTCAAGTGTCGACTGAAATACAAGGTTCTGCTTCTTATTCTTCTTCTTATATATATGGCCAACAGTTTAAGATCCTCTAGTAAATAATTGTGATTTCCACCAATTGCAACATTTTATGTCACACTGAATGCACTCATTGCAGCCGATTGTGTGATCGCTGCAATGCTGTTGGCCATATTTATGAACCGGCTATATTCAGGGCCCCCGGCAAAAGCTAGGCTGGGGCTTCAAAATAACAAAAAATTGCATCCCATGAGGGGACGACTTAAACACCACAAGACTTGCTGCTTGCTTGTTGTACCCCACTAGGACATTACACAAGCGATAAACACCCGGTGACACAAAGTGCCACCATGCGGATGAGGATTACCCGTGGAGAGGTCCCAGAAACCCTTTTCAATCGTTATGGCCACAATTGTGACCTTGCCATATTCAGTGCTCTCGGCAAAAGACAGGGTGGGGCTTCAAAATGGAAAACAAAAAATTGCATCCCACAAGGGATGATTATTGTAGATACCACAAGACATATACCAAAAGAGGAAAAGGATGTAGAGCACAAGGCAAAGAATCATGTAAAAAGATGACATGGGACATATATATATGGCATGGAGGGATGTCAACACATGAACTGATACACTCAGTTACGGATCGAGGATTCCGAAAAGGCATGATAGCCTACGCTAGTCGGCAAGGCATTTGATAAATTGATCACGGATGTTTCCAGTGGTCACAACATGTTCCAGTTTCTCCCTTCTCATAAAGTGACCAAAAAATTATGATTGTGGCTTGCTGATGTTTGTGACAAGTAGATACCACAAGACATATACCAAAAGAGGAAAAGGATGTAGAGCACAAGGCAAAGAATCATGTAAAAAGATGACATGGGACATATATATATGGCATGGAGGGATGTCAACACATGAACTGATACACTCAGTTACGGATCGAGGATTCCGAAAAGGCATGATAGCCTACGCTAGTCG